ATACCAGATAAAAGAAAACAATCAAATGTTTAAAAATAATAATCAATAACTTTATCTTGAAAATGACTTTTTTATTAGCCTATACAAAACATAAATTTTATGGCTCTATAAGTTATGAAGATACCAAGAAAAACCGTATAATTTTAATATAATTAAAATAAAAAAATTGTAGGTTTTGAATAGCACATAATAGAAAAAATGTTGAATTAAAAATGTATAGAAAATTAAATTTAAAATAACGGTTAAATGAATTTTTTTTTTTGTTTTTACAATGAACGATTTATAAATTAATAATTTTAACAGTAAGAATAGAACATATACGTTTTTTTAATAGGTATTCTGGCTTTTTGGCAAAATATTTCGATTTTATTGTACACTAATGAAGCACTATCGTGAACAATTAAATTAACCACGCGCATTTTATAAAAAAGAACACGTAGTACTTGTTTATTTGATGGCAACTTACTGCCGACGATTTGATTTGACATAAAACCAATTTGAGATGTTGAAGCAATTTTTTTTTTTAATATTTAAATCTAAACTTTTTTTAAGTTGTATAATTAGAAACGTAAGTATAAAATATAAGAAAATTGTTAAATATTAAATTCATTAACAACGAACGACAGTTGATTCGATTATGATCAAAACTTTTCAATTACCAGATAACATACAATCTTGGAAAGCGAAATTTTAGCTGGTTATATACATAGTCTCATCTTTTCAAGAATACCAGATAAAAGAAAACAATCAAATGTTTAAAAATAATAATCAATAACTTTATCTTGAAAATGACTTTTTTATTAGCCTATACAAAACATAAATTTTATGGCTCTATAAGTTATGAAGATACCAAGAAAAACCGTATAATTTTAATATAATTAAAATAAAAAAATTGTAGGTTTTGAATAGCACATAATAGAAAAAATGTTGAATTAAAAATGTATAGAAAATTAAATTTAAAATAACGGTTAAATGAATTTTTTTTTTGTTTTTACAATGAACGATTTATAAATTAATAATTTTAACAGTAAGAATAGAACATATACGTTTTAATTTTTTTAGATCTAAATAAGAACTTTTCGAACATTTTTGTAAATATACTTTTTATAGAAAAATTGTATACCTACAATAAAGTTCAAATAAACTTTTTTGCAAATGTTAAAATTTTTGAGATAGACAAAAAAAATAAAAAATCACCCTTGGGGGGTTATTTTTAACTCCCTTGGGGCACGTCTTAGAGTTGACCAATCGTCTCCAAATTTTGTACAATTTATTTTTTCATGTATTTGAATAATTCCCTAGAATTATTAGAATAAGTACCCCCTAGGGTGGCACTTACAAATATAAAAAAAAAAAAACCTCTCATGTAGCTAAGGGTCACCCTACTGTACACGGATGACAATTGACACGGAGATCATCGATTTGCCGTGCTGGGTGGCCAAAGGGGTAAGTAAAGTAAGTCGCTGGAGATCAGCTATCCCACGAAATAATATAATCAGCGGTGTTAGTAACAACTGGTCTACCAAATCTTTGTTAAAGGCGTTCTGTACCAAACAATTTTAGTTAAACTAGTAAATGTTGTATTATAGAAAATATTTTTTTATTTTTTATAGTGTATTGTATTAATGGTTTATATATGAACATTTTGTCGTACAATTTAAATAAATTCCAATAACTTTGTATTTTCGTTTGGAATTTAATATTTCAAAACAATATAAACTGTTTAATTTTAAATTTTTTTCAAATTATAATTTAAAGTCTAGTTAATCTTTTTTGTGAAAAATATTTAGGGAATCCGAAAATGAATACTTTTTATGAATATAAAAAAGCTTCAAAAAGACTATTTGAAAATATTAGAACTTTAATGGCGTATTTAAGAAAAATCNAAGGTATCTATAAAAAAAAAAATTATATTGATTCGGTCATTTTTAAAAAAGTTATGGCAATTTTAAGTAAAAAAAAAATGACAAAATATCGAAAATTAGCAATTTTTAAATTTGTAATTTTTTGGGGGATTTCCCCCGTTTACGAGGAACGAGGGATTTTTTTTCAATTTTTGAGCGTAATGTCTTCAACTAGATACGATTTGTGATCTTTTGACATATTTTTCATCAAAATCGGTTCAGTGAGAGCTGAGATTGAGCGTATACAGACACA